GGCAAAAGCAATGAGCTCAGGCATAATGAAAATTGTGAGAATGGTGCAGGACCAGGCAATATTTCGTTTTGTTGTGCACAGCATCACTATGAGTCAGAGCCAACTCAATGGCAACTAACAACAAATTTCTTCAGCTAGATCTTAAAGGAAATGAGATTTTAAAAACAAAAATTCTGTTATCTGAGAAAAAATCACAAGGAACAATATCTGACCTCCTCTGATTTCATATGGGGGAAGAAGAATGAAACTCAGCTTTAGCCCAAAGTCTGTTCCAGTGGGGCTCAGGTCAGACATGACTCCAACCTTCTACCTTCCATACCAAGTCTGACACCAACCATTCTATCTACTGAGCTGGGTTTGATAATTCACTGCAATTGCCACAAAGAACTCAGACTCACAGTTGTGCGGTTTATTAGGGAGGTTCACAGGTTACCCTCTTCCAAGCCACTCACACAGGCAGGGCTCTCCCTGGTCCTTGAACTCTCAATTCGCGTATCCTTGGTTTGTTCTGCTCCAGCACTGTTACAGAGTTCTTTTAGGGCTGTTGATAAATGCCCACAGGACAATTTATGCCACTAAAAGCTTTATCCCAAAGGCCCTTGGCACTAGTTCTGTGGATTAACAAACATAGCTCCCCAAGTGACTAGAGGCATCCCACTCCACAAGAGCATCCTGCCCAAAGGCACTCAGTTTGACTTGCTCAGTGGGCTGGTAAGCTACTTTGTCTGATGCTCCTGTGTCACTCCTCTGCTGTCACAGCTCTGTCTCCTGGGTCAAGGAGGTTAAATACACAGGGATGTTGGCATTCAAAGAGCACACTCCACTCTTGGCTCTTCTTGCTTGATGATAGTGAGATTCCCTCCTCCCTGATGCTAAGATGGCTCATTTCATACCCATGTTAGAGTTCTAAGATTTTACAATCACAATTAACCCTGCCAATAATCACTTGGACTCCTGGTGTGGCACTATAGGATCAGCACTGGACTTCAAACCACAAGGTCGGCAGTTCAAACTCACCAGCTGTTCCTCAGAAACCCTATACAAGGTGGCTATGAGTCTGAATCGACTCAACAGCACTTAACAAAAAAAAAAATCACTCACAAATGAATTATATAATCCTATCAGCATCTTCTCCCACCTTCTCTTATCCAAGAAAATATGTCATTTGGTGGAAATGACAAAGACTATGGGTAGAAGAGCAATATAAAGTAATTCACGGCACTGCACTATCATATCAACATTCCAATATTTACCTCCAGTTACACCTCCCATTCTTCTTTATGCAATAAAGAATCCAGTTTTGAAACCTTTATATATCTGTGCCCATTCCCCTAAAATTTCTAGGTCCTCAATTTTAATATGTATTTTTTATATGTGTTTAAATTGTTTTCAACTATTAAGACACCTATTTACTTGAGAGGAAAGATTATTTTCCATTACTGTTAAAGCTAAATTTTACTGGGAGCAATGTGTAAAAAATAATCTGAAGCCCTGAAAATTTTCATTACAAGGTGTTAGTCTATTTAATTATATTACTTCATCATATGGTATTTGTCCTTAATTTGTCCCACCACCTGTGAAGTGTAAATTCTAAGAACGTGCATATGTTCAGAACAAGTCTACAAAGCAACTGGTAGAATTTATGTTTAATAGAAATCAATTAAGACCTTTTACAGGCAGGGTGACAACTTGCTAAGAAATAGTGTGATAAAAATAGATTAGTTTCAAAAAAGCAAATAGAAACTTAACTATCATTAACTTTGAATTAATAGCATGGCAAAACAGAAACAAGCTTCTGACTAATTTGCCTAACACACTGGCCTTTTTCCTTATCCCCCAATCTAGCTCTGAGAAATAGTCAAGAACATTGCTATTTGGGAAAATGATACTACATTCTTCTGTTCTTCCATGCTACTGGTTGCACTCCTTAATCTCCTCTGTTGTTTTCTCCTCGTTCTCCCTCTGGACATTGGAATCTTTCCATGATCAATCCTTTTTTTTTTTCTTTTCTATCATTCCCTAAGTGGTTTCACCCAGTTTCTTTTTGCTATCTACACTAAGTGCGTGGTTTTACCCAATTTCATAGCTTTAAAATACCAACAGTTTATAATTCTCCCTTGAGAGATAGCTTGCCTACTTCACCTTTCTACATGAATGTCTAATGGGCACCCCAAACTAACATGGCCCAAACAAAACTAATGTTCTGCAACCTGCTTCTCCAACAATCTTCTCTATTTCGGTGAAGAAAGGATTTTTTTACACTTGTTTAGGCTGAAAATCTTAGAGTCACCTTTGATCCCTTCTTTTGAATACAGATATCACATTCAATTTTTAACAAGTCTGTTGTTTCTACCTTTCAAATATATCCAGAATATAGTCTCATCATTTGTATTGCTAGTGCCTTGGTCTACACCATCACCATCTCTCACCTGGAACAATGAAACAGCTTCCTAACTGGCTCCTCCTGTGTCTCCATTCTTGCCACTGATAAACTCTACTCACCATAGCAGCCGAGGTACTCCTTTTAAAAGGTACATCAGATCTTGTCATTACTCTGTTCAAAACCTTCCTCTCATGTCCTATTGCACTCAGAGTACAAGCCTAACAATTGTTTATGAAGCCCTCGGGCTCTGACATTATCTACCACTTTCACCCTCTCTTAATGCCAGTCACACAAGTCTTATTATTACCTAAATAAATGAGGCAATCTCTGACCTCTGGGTCTTTGCACTTGCTGCTTCTTCAGCCTTGAATACTGTTCCCCAATAATGTGGCCTTCTTCAGGTCTCTGTTTAAAAATCTCACATTTTCTGTGAGGCCTTCCCTGACCATCCTATTTAAAACTGCAACCATATCACCTTCCCGCTGGCACTCGCCAATCCCATTTCCCCTTTGTTTTTCCCCATAGGACTTACTAACATCTGGCAAACTACATTCATTGTTTATATATGTCTTACCCGACTACAGCTTAAGTCATGGCTGGTATTTACCATGTTCACAGCTGTCCCCAGCACCTAGAACACAGTCTACACATTGCTGTTGTTGTTTAGTGCCATTGAGTTGGTTCCAACTCATAGTGACCCTGTATAGGGTTTCCAAGGAGCAGCTGGTGGGTTTGAACTGCTGACCTTGTGGTTCACAGTAGGCTATAAAACTATTTGCTGAATGAATGAATGAACGATACTGAAATATTACCAATATAATACTGATGGTTGCCCCAAGACACCTAGAAATCCCAATCAATAATCCACACTCAAATATAAAATAACAAAAAGTTTCTTTAAAATGCATTCAAATTAAATTTTTTACTATTTAATTTTGTTGTTCTTGCATTATGTCTAAAGCATCCAGGCACAGCGTTGATGTTATTTTAGCTTTACTAGGCATACAGACTTCATATGGAGAAGAAAAAAATTACAGGCTTTTTCCTTTCATCAGTTACCACTCGACAGGCCTCCAAGTGACCCCGGTGTCACCAATGTTCAGGGTGTTTAGGGAATAAGGGAGCTTAGATAAATGAGATATCTGTAAATTGTTCAATAACCACAAAAGAGTTATCTCTCCAAATTCCAATGCAAACATTTTTTCTAATTTCATATTCTTTGGTTTTAGTTAACAAAACCATTCTTAATATGTACATGACAGGGGGCGGGAGTGAAATCTTCATTGACGAAATAATATGATTGCACTTACATCCCTCTTCACTCCCCCAAAAATAGTAATAACTAAAACTAGACTTAACAGTTTTTATTGCTGAAAATGTTTTGCTTTGAAGTTGCCCTAATAGAAAGATACTCAGTTAAGACGTGGGCTGATGGGTACTGAACAGTTTTGTTTACTATATTGTTTGTTATTTAATAGTCTTCCCAGTTCTTTCAAAAGGAAAGGAGAAAATTTCACATTGGTGCAATCAACAAGGAATGCTGTGTCCAAAGGAAGCTGCTCTGAAAGGCTATGACCTAAGTGTTTAACACTGACACAGATAAAGTTAGGGCGGTAGATGTCACTTGTCTCACTTATTAAAAAAAGAAAGAAACCGCAATTCAGATCTCACGGAGCCAAGCAGAAAGAAGCAAGCGTGAAAAACGAAATCAGTCGTTCCTCTCTGGCCTCCATCTCGACACTGCGCACTACCGACCCCCACCCCTACCCCCACCCCCACCCCCCAATCCTTTAACGGCCCCTTCTCCCAGCGTCGGTTCACCACTCAGTCCTGCACTGCGCCATCAAATGAATCAAGAGGAGGGGCTGATGTCCCTCCTGGTTAACCCAGAAGACCCACAAGGTGCACCCAACTGCGGAGAATCCAACTCCTTCAACTCAGGAACAGTGTAGGCAATGTCAACAAAGCGTCAAGCCGGCTCCCGAGTGTCCAAAGTCCCGGCCAGCTCCCCTGACACAGCCAAATTCACAGGATTCCAAAAGGTGATTCGACCGTCATCGCAGAACGCAAGGCGGGAGGCGGTGCAGATCCGGAACAATCAAGGATGAAGTCCAACTAGCCGCCCGCCCCATGGGGCCATCACCCGCCTCTGTCTCTGACACCCCTTCCTCACAAGAGGCCTGAGCGCCGCGTCACGTGCCGGGACCGAAACTTCGCGGCCGGGGCGAAAGGGTAGGGGATGGGAAACGGGATCGCAGCAAGGCCAAGGAGTTAACGCACCCTGTGAGTCACTCGCAGCCTCCGCGTGCTGCTGCAGACGAAGGGCCCTGCGTGCCGCCCCTGCCCCAGCCTCCGCGCCCGTTATTAATATCCCCACGGCCCAGAGACATAAGCCCCCGGCCGGCGCCCTCGGGCTCAGCAGCGCACCCTACACGAGGAATAAATAACAATGTCATTAAATCGCCGGGCGAACGCCCGTCCAAAAGGAGAGCGGACAGCGTGAGGAGCGCCGCCCGGAGCTGACTTTGTCTGGAGCCCGACCCCCCACCTCCCGCGCTTCTCCGCAGCGTCCCCGTGTCCCCGAGGAGACCTCCGCGGCGCCGCAGCCCGGCCTTACCCGCCAGCTCGTCGGGCTCCAGCCCGCTGTCCGCGTCGATCCCGCACAGCACGAAGTAGTGCGCGAAGCGGCAGGCGGCTGGGGAGGAGCCCGAGCCCGGCCCCGGCGCCGCGCCGCTCCCGCTCATCCCGGCCGAGCTGTTCCTGCGGCCGCCGCCGCCGCCGCTCGGAAAGACTAGCTACTGAGGCTGCCGCCGCTCCGACAAGGGTCCCCGTGTGTCCGTCCTAGGGCGAAACCGGCGCGCCCATGACCGCGCAGTCGTCGCTAGCCACCGCAGTCTCGCTCCTCGTCCGCCGCCCGGGAAGCGGCCGCGGGCTCGCGCTCGGTCGGTCCTGGTCCCGGTCCCGGGGTGGGGGAGGGGCGAGCAGGGGGAGTGTCGGCGTGAGAGGATCGCGCCGCCGCAGCTGCGCTCGCTTGCTAGGAGCCCCGGCGTCTGGCGCCCGCCGGTCAGCTGAGCTGCGCTGTAGCTGAGGAGCGCGGGGCGGGCGGGGGCGCCAGGAACTAACGCGGGGTGGGGGCTGGCGAGGAGGGCGCGCTCGCGAGAAACGGGGGCGCGCACTCCGGGATGTGCGCGCGCGCACCTAGCGGGCTCTGAGGGAGCGCCGGGCTCTAGAGAAATTCGCCCTCCCCAGCGTGGGCTGCGGCGCAGAGGGCGACCCACATACACGCCTCCAAGCCGAGGCCAGCCGATTAGAGGAATGCCAGCCAAGCGGGATTCTGTCTTTAAAGGGATGCTGTCCGTACTCATTAAAAAAAAAAAAAAAAAAATATATATATATATATATATATACACACACACACACATTTGGAGAAGGATATCAGCAACTCTAAAATCATGTCCCACTATGGTCTGGACCATCAACATCTTTAAACTATGACACGTGCACAGGTGTGTCTTATTTTAAGATGCCAGTCCAGGAATCCTCTTCTGGCCATCCTTCCCCCCACTATTCACAAACCATCCTTCCTCAAGGAGTTGGTAGCAAACTCAATGCTGAGGGTGGAAAACCACCAATATCCACAAAGTGTTGAGACTTATAAAAGGAGTACAATCGCCAACTCCTCTCCCCACCCCAGCCCAATTCTGTAATTTTATCCTGACATTTTCCAGGTCGATGTAAAGTTTCCAAGGCACTTGAGTTTTCCAGCTTGTACTCATTTGATAATTATCAGCTGTCTCTGCAGGTACACTCAGAGGCTGATGAGGCAACAGGAATTAGACCCTGAACTCTGCTCTTTACAAGAGCAAGGCTGGCTTGACCTGCACGTGCCTCAGATTTTTCCGTTCTTCAAAAGTGCTCACTCTTTGAAAGGTGAAAAAGTGAATCCATTCCATCTCCCTATGGCCATCCCTTCTACACCGCTCCCTACGCTCTTCTTTCTGGATTTGGGTATAAAGATGAGGGTAGGATCATGAACACCGCTGGCAGGCACACAAGCAAACCTTCCAGGAAGGTGGAGCGAGCCTTATTATTAGATTTAATAATCTTCCTGGCAGATAATGCAGGCATATATGCCATCCTATACTGTAGTTTATATCCTCATTTCCTCCTTCCTCTCTCTCTCTCCAGTTTAAAGTGTTAAGAAGGATCAAGAAATCAGAGCGAACTACACAGCCTGGGTAATTGACCTTTACCTCCTGTTACACCCAGCTCTTTTTCTTCAAAACACTTGTAATGATTTTTTTTTTTTTTTTTCTGTATCTGTTTTCTTAGCTAGATTGTAAACTCTACTGGAGCAAGAGTCATGTTCTCTTATTCGTCATGTTTCCAGGACTCTAGTATCACTTGTTGTTGTTAAGTGCAGTCCAGTGGGTTCCAATCCATAACAACCCTGTATAAGGTTTCCAAGGCTGGTGAGCCTGAACATCTCAACTTGTGATTCAAATCGACCTTGCAGTCCAGCACATTAGCCCACAGCGCCATACCAGGACTCCTGGTACCACTTAGCACCTCAATTTATGTTTACTGAGTCAATGAAAGGCTACTTACATAGGTAGTAACTGGTTGTTGAGGGCACTAAGGAAACACACAAGCTTTAATAACTGTAGCATATTCATCAACCTATGCTAATTTACATTACATTTTTAACCCTTATACAGAGAAAATACTGACGTAAAACAATTTCACTAGTAAGAAAAGGGAAGGAGTAGTGCCATGTGTATAGGTTAAATTTTTGATGGTGGCTCCTTCTATGATATTTGTTATATTCTAGATGAATCAAGCATAGTACAAAAGAAAACTAATTTATTTTTTGCACTAACCAAGAGACACACCACTTCTTGTGAGTTTAAACAGTCACTGATTTGTGACATTTTAAGCTCTGCGTTAATGTTAAAAAATAAAAAGCCCAAACAAAAAAAGCACTGATTAAAATACATCAAGCTCATCAAAACAGACAAGATCTCTAAGATCTTCCCTAAAGCTTTCAAAAGAATAGTCACACATTACAAGATTAAATAGTAATATGAAAATACCTGGGACCTTTCCTAATTGTCACTTCAGAATGATATTGTGTAGGTCTATTCTGCTTTAAACTTCAGTGATACAAAATTGAAAAGCTTATCAAGCATTAACTATGTATCATGGCCTTTGTATTTTACTGTAAAATAATGACATAGAAGTAAATTAAATGAATGAAAAATACTTCAAATAAATCTTCCAAAATATAAAAACTGTGTTGCTAAGATATGCTAAGTCAACCTTTATTACCCCCTCTCTTCGCTACCACCACTACCACCTCACATACACACACGGAAGGAGAAGGAATTGCTGATGCAACTATTCAGAGCTTAGGACATTCACTGGACCACATTTCATTTCATTAAAACCCGTGACAGCCAGAAACCATGTGAGGTTTCTGCCAGAGAAGGATACCTCAAATATTTTCCAGTAAATTGTTGTTGTTGTTGTTGTTACGTGTCATCGAGTCGGTACCGACCCATAGTGACCTTATACACAGCAGAACAAAACGCTGCCTGATCCTGGGCCAACCTCTGTACTGTTGCCACACTTGAGTCCATAGATGTTGCCACTCGGCCAATCCATCTCCTTGGGGGTCTTCCTCTTTTTCTCTAACCCTCCACCTTACCAAACATGATATCTTTCTCCAACGACTGGCCTCTCCTAACAATATGCCTGAAGTATGAGAGAAGCAGTTGTTCGAACAGAACATGGGAATATCAAATGTTTTAAAATTTAAAAAGGTGTGCAACAAAGTTATATTCTTTCATCATATTTATTCAACCTGTATGCTGAGCAAATAATCCGAGAAGCTGGGTTATATGAAGAAAAACGTAGCATCAGGATTGGAGGAAGACTCATAAACAACCTGAAATATGCAGATGATACAACCTTGCTTACTGAAAGTGAAGAGGACTTAAAACATTTACTGATGATCAAAGAGCACAGCCTTCAGTATGGATTACATCTCAATGTAAAGAAAACAAAAATCCTCACCACTGGACCAATAAACAACATTCTTATCAATGGAGAAAAGATTGAAGTTGTCAAGTATTTCATTCTTCTTGGATCAACTATCAACACTCACGGAAGCAGCAGTCAAGAAATCATGTATTTGTATAGGCAAATATGCTGCACAAGACCACTTTAAAGTGTTGAAGAGCAAAGATGTCAGTTTGAGGACTAAGGTGCGCCTGACCCAAGCCATGGTGTTTTCAATAACCTCATATGCATGTGAAAATGAAAGCTGGACAGTGAATAAGGAAGACGGTAGAAAAATTCATGCTTTTGAGTTATGGTGTTGGAGGAGAATATTGAAAGTGCCATGGGCTGCCAAAAGAACCAATAGATCAGTTTTGGAAGAAGTGCAGCCAGAGAGTGCTCCTTGGAAGCCAAGACGGCCAAACTTCGTCCCTCATACTTCCACTAAATAGACAACAATAAAAGTGATAACTGTATTGTCAAGGTTGGAAAACTTACATGACCCAGGAAAACAAGGCAGTCTATCTAATTCTGACTCTCACAGGTTTCACTGTATTAGTAAGTCACTATGGGCAAACTATTGAACCATGTAAGAAGCTTCCAAAAAAGATGGAAGAAGGAATACACGGTACTAGAAAGAATTGGTCAACACTCCACTATTTCAACAGGTGGCGCATGATCAAGAAGGGATTATTTAAATACAAAATTGTACTGAAGGCTTTAGCAGAAAAACAAGGCTCCAGGAATTGACAGACTATAAATAGAAATGTTTCAACAAACTGATGCAGTGCTGGATGTGCTCACTCTTTTATACTAAGAAATTTGGAAGACAGTTACCGGGCCAACCAACTGGAAAGATCCATGTTTGTGTCCATTCCAGAGAAAAATGACGCAAGAGGATGCAGAAATTATCGAACAATACATAATCTCACTTGCAAGTAAAAGTTTGCTGAAGATAACTAAAAAATGGATGCTGCAGCAGGCAGAAATTAAAGCCAGATTCCGAAGAGGAGGTAGAATGAGGGATATCATTGACGGTTTCAGATCTTGGCTGAAAGCAGAGAGGACCAGAAAGATGTTTAGTTGTGTTTTATTGACTGTGGATCATTACAAATTATGCAAAACATTGTGAAGAATAGGAATTCCAGAAGAGTTCATTGTGCTCATGTGGAGCCTGTACATAGACTGTCTTAGGCTGGGTTCTCTACAGAAGTAAAACTGATGAAACATA